CTTCTTCTTCTTTTTTTTTTTTTCTTAACATCTGAAGCAAATAATGCCTAAGGTTTTAACTTTGCTCAGAACTTTGCGCTGGAAATGCGCAAATATTTTCTTAAGAGTTAATCATTCACTCTCACCTATTTGCTTTCTAGAACTATTCTTAAAGCTGTAGCATTCTGTTTTATGCAACTATTTATGAAGACCTCTGTAGTACTTGTAATATATAAAAAAAAAGTAAAAAAAGAAAAAAACACAAAAAACAAACCACTATAGAATTTTGTTGACAAATTCTTTTAAGTTTTTAGAAATTTTTAAATATTCTCCTTCAGCCTTCTAAAATAAAAATGAACTTGTCCAGTCTACTGATAGTCATTTTACATAGGACTTTTCCTCTCAACTTTTTACTTCTCTGAAGTTTGGGAGGCATAGTCCCACACCATTTTTATTCCTGCATCTTGACTCTTTAAGAACTTAGTTTCAGAGTTTAAAAACCTGTCAAAAAGATATATCTCTTGGAATACTGCTCCTAAGCAGAGCCTGAGCTCCCTTAATATGCACACTGAGACTGTCTTGTAGTTAAGGAAAATTACCTCTAAATTACCTCAGGTACCTCTGTTTTGTGTATTTTGCAGATACGAGTTTTTATTTCTTCTCCATAAATCTTATTTATTTATTTATTTATTTATTTATTTATTTATTTATTTATTTTTAAAGGTTTTATTTATTTACTTGACAGAGAGAGACACAACAAGAGAGGGAACACAGCAGGGGGAATGGGGGAGGGAGGAGCAGGGAGCCCGATACGGGGCTCGATCCCAGGACCCCGGGATCATGACCTGAGCCAAGGCAGACGCTTAACGACTGAGCCACCCAGGCGCCCCTCTTCTCCATAAATCTTAATAGCGTACTTATGCTACTAAACTCTAAGAAAAATTTTAGAGTGGGTACCTGTGGAAACTCCTGGAAGGCTCCCATCATTTCCTGCCTTCTTTCAGAAGAACCACCAATCACAATCAAGGGCCTGAAATAGTCATTGTTTTAAAAGAGAATTACAGATGAGATCGACATGTAAAATACTCAGGAGAGTGCCCAATTAAGAAATAGCCATGCATATTGAGAGAGACAGAGAATTTCACTTTCCCTTAAAAACTATAGATTAGGGGCACCTGGGTGGCACACTCGGTTCAGTTCTTGGTTTTGGCACAGGTCCTGATCTCAGGGTCGTGAGATCTGAGATTGAGCTCCCCATAAGGCTCTGTATTGGGTGTGGAGTCTGCTTAGGATTCTCTCTCTCCCTCTCCTGCTGCCCCTCCCCCGCACTCGAGAACACACACCTGCTCTCTCTTTCTCTCAAATAAATAAATAAAATCTTTAAAACAAACAAACTATAGATTAAAACAGATTTAGGAAGCAACCCGATACAAGAGAACCCTTCCTTAATTTCAGAAAAAGTTGAAATTCATAGTAAATGCTTTTCCTTCGTGCCACCCACTTTCCAAGCCCTTCTGAATGCTGATGCTAAACCTCTAGGTGTGGTGATGTAAAATAAATTTTTATGACCTTCCCATTAGTCTTGGAATTAAAAGGAGGAAACAATTTTTTCACACTTTCCTAGGTGAGTCTACTTGGAAATGGTGGAGTAAGAGAAATCCTCGGCAATAAATTTCTTAAAGAAAAGATACAGCAAACTTAAAGTTACTAAAAAAATATCAGACCCTAAAGTAGGTAAGAAAGAGAAAGACTAGGAATGAAAAAAGGAAAGAAGGCATATGGCAAGAAAGTGAACAATGAATGCCCTTCCTACATTAGTCTAAATAATATCTAAATATTTAATCTTCTTTTATACTAGGAAGGTGAAATATTTTATGAATTGACTAGAACATAACCCCCTTTAACATGATCTTATTGGTAAAGTGCCAAAGATGGGGTTAAGGGCAAGGTCAAAGAGTAAGTACTAAGGAGCTTATAAAGCAAACTCAAAAAATATAATTTCAATTGTCTTGCTAATTATGCAAAACAAGATGAAGAATTGGATATACATTCTTACATATGGAGCTGGGGTCTTTAAAAAATAATTCTACACTTAAAGAGGACTTGTACACACATTCACATATATAGAGAGATAAAAATACACAAAATACACACACACAAAAACTCCAAAATGTGTGTTTTTTTTTAAGTTTTATACACAGTGTTATTTTAATGAGTTAAACATGAGACTATTCCCACAAGCTTCTACACATGAGTTTATAAACACTTAAAATCTCAATGAAAGAAGATGTTAGATGAAGCACATATTATATACTGTCTAGTTCCTGTGAGTTAAACAGAGAGCTATGCCCATATGCTTCTACATATATGTTTAGAAACACATATCTTTTTTTTTTAAGTAGGCTCCATGCCCAACATAGGGCTTGAACTCATGACCCTGAGATTAAGAGTTGCATGCTCGGGGCGCCTGGGTGGCTCAGTTGGTTAAGCGACTGCCTTCGGCTCAGGTCATGATCCTGGAGTCCCGGGATCGAGTCCCGCATCGGGCTCCCTGCTCGGCAGGGAGTCTGCTTCTCCCTCTGACCCTCCTCCCTCTCATGCTCTCTGTCTCTCATTCTCTCTCTCTCAAATAAATAAATAAAATCTTTAAAAAAAAAAAAAAAGAGTTGCATGCTCTACCGGCTGAACCAGCCAGGCACCCCTAGAAACACCTATATCTGAATGAAGGAAGATGTTACTTGAAAGGTTTATATACAGGGTAGACTCAATGAGTTAATCATATGTGTATTCCTATATGCTTCTACACATAAGTTTTCCAAAATCTCCAAAATGTTAACAGTGTTTACCTCTAAGTAAGATTGCTGATATTTTTTATGTTCTTCCTAATACTTCTCTTAATTTTTTACTAAGCCATTCCCTCAAGCACTTGATTCCAAGTCTTCCCACCCCAGATCACGAATAACAATTAATTACCAACAGTTCATGTTTGCATTTGCCATACCACCCAAAGCGTGGATGAGACCTGGGCCAGAAACAACAAGGCATACGCCTGGCCTAGAAGCAAAACAGAATTTACTGTATTAAAAGCAGGTCAAATGCAATAGCTGATTAATATCACTCTAGGAGGACACATGGCAACCTTCTTGGACTTCAAAAAGAGGACATATAGGTCTTTACTACAATTGGTAAAGCAATTATTAGAATATTTTCTGAATTATAAAAGAAACAAGGGAAAGATTATGTTAGTCTTTCCTGCAAGAAAGAAGATACCTATCATCTTCACACTGTATTTCACTAACCTTTTCATATTTTGAACCTCTTCATATTTTGAAGAGGTTATATTTGGGCCCAATCAATTTAATGGCATACAAAAGCCAATTCTTGATACTGAGTACATTTTTGTTTGGAGAAAAGTATTTAAAAAATTTTTTTAACAAATATGTCATTTGATCTCTGACAGCAAATAATTCTGAAATGTAATGCTCCGCCTCAAATTTTTTAAACTGAATTTGAATGCTTTACCCTAGATGTGACTTTCTAACCTTAAAGCACTCAAGGAAAAAGTATCTCCATATAATTCAGTTTGCCATTTTACACATTTACAAAGTCATTTAAGAAACTCTGTTTAAGACAGCCTTCAAAAGAAATTGAAATAAAACAAAGACTTTAGTTTACCTGCCTGTCAGATATCCAATCGCAGAAGCAGCATAACAAGCCTACAAAGAAAAAATACTGGAACTTAAGCATACTGGGATCCTTACAGTAATTGCACATATAAAAATTCACTATTCAGTAAGAAACTAGAACTGAATGGTAAAGGAGGAATTAGAATGCTTTCAGTTTTAACAAGTAATGTTCTACCTGTAAACTTCAAATAACAGTTTAGGTATCTAATCTAGTTCCTAGTATTTCAAGGAACTTGTCTATTTCATCTAGTTTATTAATAATATCCTCTTACAACTGCTTAAATATCTGCAGGATCAACAGAAATGTTCTCTATCTTATTCCTAATATTGGCAATTTGTGTTTTCTCTCTTTTATTCTTCATCAGTCTTGCCAGGGATTTATCAAATTTATTAATATTCTCAAAGGACCAATTTTGGCTTTGTTGATTTTTCTATATTGTTCATTTATTTTCTAGTTCACTGATTTCTGCTCTTGTATTTATTATTTTACCCTTTTCATTAGGATTTAGTGTGGTTTTCTTTTTCTAGCTTCTTAAAATGTGAGCTTAGAGCACTGATTTTGCTCTTCCTTAGTAATAGATTCATTTAAAACCATTTCCTCTAGGAACTGCTTTGGCTATGACTTACAAGTTTGAAATCTCATCTTTTCATTATCATTCACTTCAAAATATTTTCTATTTTCCACTGTGATTTCTTCTTCAACCCACTGGTTGATTAGGGTTCATTGTAATGTGTCCTTTTTTTGTTGTTGTTGAAGATTTTATCTATTTACTTGAGAGAGAGAGAGCAGGTGGAGGGGCAGAGGGAGAGAAACAGACTCACCACTGTGCAGGGAGCCCGATGTGGGGGGGCTCGATCCCAGGCCCAGGGACCACAACCTGAGCTGAAGGCAGATGCGTAACCGACTGAGCCACCCAGGCGCACCCCCCCCTTTTTTTTTAAGATTATTTATTTATTTGAGAGAGAGAGAGAGAGAGCGTGCATGAGCAGAGGGGAGGAACAGAGGGAGAGGGAGAAGCAGACACCCCGCTTAGCAGGGAGCTGGAAGCAGGGCTGAATCCCAGGACCCTGGGATCATGACCAGAGCCGAAGGCAGACGCTTAAAGGACTGAGCCACCCAAGCGCCCCTGATGTGTCATTTTTCATTCCTGCTATTAGTAATTTATATTTTCTTTCATTTTTTAAAAAAGATTTTATTTATTTATTCATGAGAGACAGAGAGAGAGAGGCAGAGGGAGAAGCAGGGAGCCCGATGCAGGACTCCATCCCAGGACCCTGGGATCATGACCTGAGCCGAAGGCACACACTTAACCGATTGAGCCACTCAGGCGCCCTCTGTCTTCCATTTTTGACCAGTCTGCCCTGAACTTTTTTTATTTTACTAGTCTTTTTAAAATGTTTACAAAGTATCAAATGTGTTATTTAACTTTCAAATGTTTGGGGATTTCCTAGTTATCTTTCTGTTACTGAATTTATTTCCACATGGAGAGGTTACATGTATTACATATTTTCAGTCTTTGGAGATTTGTTGAGATTCCCTTTATGGCTTGCATATGCCTAGTTTTTATTTCTTTTTCTTAAAGATTTTATTTCTTTATTTGAGAGACAGAGACAGAGAGAGAACAGGAGTTGGGGGAGGGCAGAGGGAGAGGGAGAAGGAGGCTCCCCTCTAAGCAGGGAGCCCAAGGTGGGGCTTGATCCCAGGACCCCGGGATCATGACCGGAGCGGAAGGCAGACGCTTAACGGACTGAGCCACCCAGGCGCCCTGGTTAGTTTTTACTTTTAAACTACACTTCAGCTGCACAGCAAAAAAGGGGAGGTGCTAAATCAAATACAGGATAACCTGAAAATATGCTAAATGCCGTCTCAAATAAATCCTTTTTCTTAGTCTGGGACATCTTTTTTCCCGTATTATTTCTTCTCATTTTTTTAGAAATAATAAAAAATAGGATATTTTCTAACCTCCAATCAGCTTTATGTGTGGTACACTGAACTTAAAAAAATGTTTAGGACGTAAGCGTAAAAAATTAAAAATAAATTTTTATGAATCATAATCTTAACTGACACCACTACATATGCCCAACCAAGAAGGTGCACAAAGGCTCTGTACCATTTCTGTGTTACTATTCTCCATTGGCCCTTATCTCTTTTCCCTTTTGCACATAAGTCCAAATTCACAAAGGATAATAATAAGACATCCCTAAGAATGCAAGTGCATAAAATATAATATCTGTTGCAATATGAACACTTATTTGGACACTGAGGAGCACTGTCCACTTATTAAAGTGGGGTAATAAATGTTGCTACAGAATGAAAAATACAGAACAACATATAACAAAAATCATATTCTTCTGTTGCAGAAGTCAAAAGTTGAAAAGGAACTCTTTTTATAGATCATAAAACATGTACTTCTTGGGGTGCCTGGGTGGCTCAGTTGGTTAAGCATCTGTCTGCCTTTGGCTCAGGTCATGATCCCAGGGTCCTGGGATAGAGCTCCGCGTCGTCAGCTTGCCTCTCCTTCTCCCTCTGCCCCTGCCCCACACCCCCCCAACCTCTCCTCATGTGCTCATGTGATCTTTCTTGCACACTCTCTCTCTCAAATAAATAAAAGAAAAACAAAAAAAAAAATGTATTCCTTTACCAAGTTACCTCCACTCACAAGGAGAATACTGTGTGCAGTACTTAAAAGAGCAGACTCTAGAACTAAATTGTTTTGATTCAAATCCTGCTCTCCTACTTTCTGCTGTGTAATTTTGGCAAGTTACTCTGTACCCTGGCTTCCTTATCTATAAAATGAACATAACTGACAGCACTGCTGTGAGGATGAAATCAATTAATACATGTAAAACATTCCGAATATTGCCTGCACACAGTTAGAAAGTGTGCCTACTTCCTGGAAAGCTGCTCAGTATATGGCTTGATTACTCTAGGGATCCAATGAAAGATAAACAGGTCACAACCAATTACACCTTTCTCTTTAGTACAACACATAATTGGATGCCAAGTCCTCTTTTGCCTCTTGTATGGCTTCTGAATCGGTTCTCACATTCTCTCTTCATCATCCTGGCATTACCCTTAATTCAGGCACTAGTTAAGTCATCCTGACTACTGCAAAGACTCAGGTTGACTGAGGGGACTGTCTACTACTAGGAATGTCCTACAGGCATCTCAAACTCATATCCAAATTGGGATTCATTATCTTTTCCCTCCAAATTGGCTCTTCCAGCTGTACCCTCGATCTGAGTTAGTGGCACTGTGATCCACTCAGTCAGTTAAGCAAGCCCAAATCTGAGAAGCATCTCCAGAAGAGCCTGTCCTCTCCTTCCTAGCTGGTTAATGCCTACTCATCCTTTGAGACAGCTCAAGGACCATTTCCTCTAGGAAACCTCTTAAGTTCTAGCTGAGTATCCTTTTCTAGGCTTCCATAGCACCTTGAATATACCTCTATCACAGCACTTATCACATTATAATAAAATTGTCTGCTTATGTCTGTCTCCACAGCTAGGTTATAAGCTCCTCAAGGACTGGGACAATATATCATTCATCTCCATATCCATATGCCCAATAAAGCACCTGGGACCTACAGAGGCCCTCCACTAAGCTTATAGGACTGAAATAAAACTTCAAGCTGTCCTACTGATCTATACTCTGTACTACTATGATTTCTAAAGTACAAATCTAATTATGTCTCCCACCTATTTAGAAAACCCTTTACAGTCTCATTCAATGCCGACTGAAAAAGCCCACATTCCTTGTCCAGCCATGGACTTACTACAACTCCCTCTCAGTCCACCTAGTCAGTCTCACAGCCCACTGTGCCTTTAAGCTATATTGATGGAACAGCATGAACAAACATTGCCTTTATGGATATTCTTCTCTGTCCCACTCAGAACAAGTCACCCTTTACATGCACCGTTCCTTATGCATACATCTGTTGTAAGTCATACTAGATAAATTTGTTCTGTGTGTTTTGCACTCACCTTCCCAGATTGTGTTCAACTTAAAGATCAAGACTAAACCTGATTCCTTCAATATATCTCTCTAGGTTTGGGCTTGCTTGATTGACTAGGTGAATCAGCACCACTGACTCAAATCATGAATACAGAGGGAAGAGCCAATTTGGAGGGAAAAGGTAATGATTCAAAATCAGACATGAGTTTGAAATGCCTATAAGACATCCCTAGTACGTATTTCCCATAGTCAGCTTGACTCTTTGCAATAAGTCAGAGAAAGACGTAAACACCAGTACCTGGTATGTAATCATTAAACATGTGGTGTATGAAGAAGAAACCAGACATTCCAATTCCAGAAAAACAGTAAAATATAAGTCTTATTAATAGGTCAATAGTTTCATCTTCCCACACAGATGAAAGAATAGAATGTTGTTCCAACTAAGAAGATAGAAGCAATACAAACTGAAGACCTGATTTAAGATTTAAAAAACCACAATCCTCAAATCTTATACTTAAGGATTGTCACTGAATTAATTTAAAAATGTTGTAAGTTTCTACATCATACAAAAACCCCAACCACGCCAGGCACTATGGAGATATAACAAATGAACCTGCTCTCTAGGAGCCCACATCTGATGAAGAGGAAGGGCAGCACTTAAGGAGGTCAAGGCAGCTGTCTGGCAACAGGTGGTAAGAGCCTGAATGAGAGAGCAACAGTGGGAGTGCAAAGCAGGAATACTTAGCTGTAGATGGACTGACAGGATATGACACCATAGAAGTTGTTTCTTGATCTTTTAAGCCAGCATTGGTGAGAGGAGGACAAGGCTGGGTTGACAGAGTAAGCGCTGAGACTGGGTTGACAAAATGTGTTATTTTCCATTCTTTTGCTTCCAAATAAGCCTCTACGAAGGGTGGCAGCATGATGTGGGGGAAGGAGCACTGGACTGGGATATAGGACAATGACGTTCTAATCACAGCTTTTCCATTTGTGATACTGTCATCTTGCAAGGCCGTCTACTATATAACAGGAGACCCGGCCTTCACCCATTCATCTGGTAGGAACTGCCAGAGCACCTATCATGTGCTAGGCAGTGGGGATATAGATGTATCAAGAAGAAATAATATCCCTCCTCTCTTGGAGCTCACAGCCAAATAGGGAAGTCAGACCAGACAAATAATACACAGAAACAGACACATAATAACAGATAGTTATGCGAGGACACAAGGCCTGGATTCAGGCCGGGAAACTGTCCCTTCCAATCCCGACCCTCTAGACTTGGCAGAGTACAACCCTGTGCAGTGTCAAGAGCATGGACTCCAGACCCAGAACACGTGGGTTGAAATCCTGGCTCAGACGCTACCAACTATCACCTCGGGCAAATTACTTAACCTCTCTGTGTCTCACTTTTCTCATCTGTCAACTAGGATTAACCGAAGTTCTTGCTTCATAGGATTGTCGTCATTGGCACGTGTGAAGTACTGGAACAGTGGTGAGGGCTGGGCATCTGCAATGAATATTTGCCGTTATTAGCAATCATTCCCAAAAATGTTTTTGGCTCCCAGTGTCCATACTTACGGCTTGCTCATTCCTCATCCCGACATATGTGATGCCCAGCTTCTGCGCCGCAACGGCGATTTCGGTCACTGGGATGCCCACGATGCCAAACATGTACGCCACATCCTGAGGGCCAAGAACAGAGGAGTAAATGCCCGGACCCCCGCCACACCGTTCCCTCCCTCGGCGCTAAAAGGAAAGCCTCAACGCAAACCTCCCCGGTCCCACCCTAGCGCTGTCCAAGTCTGCGGGACAAGTCTCCGCGCCCTGCCGGCTTCCGTAGGAGCCTTTCGTTGCAGGAGAGTCACCATACTTGGGTTTTCAGGGCCTGGGCGATGACTTCAGCACCAGAAACCTGCTTCTCCCTTCTGTCGCTACGCTCCGCGAAGGTACTTTCCCACATCTTCCACCTAAAATTTCGAGGTACTCTCTCAGTCAACAAGTTGACCCGTAGTGACCCGGCGAAACAAAGTCAGAAGGCAACCGCACGCCAATTGTGAGGCCCCGTCCTCTGACTGACAAGAGGAAAGCAACCAACCGCTTTAAAAAATAGCTGAAAGGAAAAGGCGGGGCTTAAGTTAGTCGGCTCGCAGGGTAAACACACTCCTTCTCCAATCAGAACCGTGCCCTTTGCCCAGCTCCTCCAGTCGCCGGGTCAGAGCATCGGAAGGAGGCGGGACTAGCAGGAGTCCACGGCCTATGCCAAGCAGGTGAGGGGCCAAACCTCGGAGGCCTCTCGCCCCCTCTAATTACCGTCCGGAGCCGTCAGGGGACCTGAGAAGGCGAGTGGCGCATGCGCATAGTGGGGCAGCGGGAGGGCTAGGAGCGCGAGTGCAAGGGGGCGTGGCGCGCGCCCCCCGTTGCCCCCTCCCCATGCTTTAGGGGTCGAGGGCAGGCTTCGCAAAGGCTGCTGGGACCCGGGTGGGCTGGGTGGAGCCTAGCGTAGTGCAAAGTTGTTTTTGGGTCGTGTTATGTTTGTGCGCCCATTGAGTCCTAGACGTTTGCTACGTGCTTTTTGGTTTATACACGCTTTTGTAACTTTGGGAAGAAGTTTCACAGCTATGCAGTTCGTGAAACATAGTAATTAACTAGTGCACGTTAATTAAATCCATAAACTGATGTACTCTTTACCCCAATATTATAGATGACACCGAATTTATAAGCAAGAGACAGAAAGTAAACTGCACACACCATTTCTCAGAATCCCAAACTTGTACTTTTAGGCTACCGGAGACAAAGAGGAACCCTTGAACCTAGCTATTTTAGCCAGGCGTGAGCTCGCAACCCTGAGATCAAGACCTGAGCTAGTATCAAGAGTTGGATGTTTAACTAACTGAGCCACCCAGGCGCCCCTGAACCTAGTTAAAAGTAAAAGACCATTGTTTTCTTTAACTCTTGCTACTCACCCACTCTTCCTCTCCATTCACCCTCCGTTCTTGTCTTTTCCAAAATCAGGGAATGTGGGTTTTCGTAATTCTTAGGTTCAGTCCCTGTCGACCAGTCCCTGTAGCTGATAACCTTTTAAAACGCATTTTTGAGGGGCGCTGGGGTGGCTCAAAAATAAAATAAAAAAAAAAAAAAAACACAAAACACCACGCATTTTTGAGGGGAAAAAGATGCTTGCAATGTGTGATTTCTGTGGATGTAGCCTCCGAGTCATTAAACCATCTCCACAGCAAAGAGTGACTTTAAATTTTTGATTTTGAGTGTTTTAAAGCAAAAAGACAAGTAATATGTGGAAAGTAGAGAGAAGAGGGGAGTGGGTCATGGGTAGACAAATGAATGAAAAGCATTGGAAGTGAAAGGATTTCTAAGCCCAGAGATTTTCAAACCATAGTCCTGGGCCCCTCCAAAAGGTCTTCCTTTCAGCATTTCAAGCCCTAACCTCCCACCCTAAACAGAAGAGAGTGTAATAGTAGCCTCTCTGGATTTGGGGACTAGCCTGTGTAAGGTAGCCAGCTCATCAAAGAGGGAGATTTCTTTGATGGCTCAGAGTTCCTCTAAAACATAAATGCAAATCTTGCATTCCACTCCAAAGTATATCCATATTTTACTATAAATATCTTTTTATGAGGTAAAATGAACATGCAATTAAATGTACAGGTCTTAAATGTTAAATAAATTTTGACAATTGGATGTACCTATGTAATCACCACCCAAAATAAAAATGACGTTTTAAACTACCTGTCAAGTGAAATTGACATTCCAGAAATATGCAAAGTGTTCTTTGTGTGGCTTTGGGTAGTCCTGTTTTTTGTCTCCTGTCTCTGAGAAGCATCGACCCCAAGCTCCTCTATCATGTAGGATTGTTTATATTAGTACCTATGTGACAGTCTCGACTCCCATTGCATCAGAATCATTTGGAAAACTTTTTTAAAATACAATTGCTTGGGCCCTACACTGTATTTTCTAAATCAGTGTGTTAGAACAAGTTAGGCACCTATATTTTTTTAAAGCTGCTACGTTATTTTGATTTGCAGCCTGTCTTGGAACCACTAGCTCTATACCTCTGCTAGAGGCATCAGTTAACAATTAAATGTGTGATTACCTGTTACCAGAGTAATACTGTTGATTAGTTTGGATTCACAGGTTCAAGGCTAGTTTGACATTGGCACCACAGACTGTGTAGATGGTTAGTCAGTTGGTGGGCCTTGTGTCTACTTCTGTGTCAAAAGAATCACGAGCAAAAGCGCTCTGTATGAAGTGTGGTGAAAACTATACTATGAACTGGAACAGATCCCCTGAATTCACATTAACTGGTTTTGCAAAAAAGGGTAAATTCTCAGCTGACTGGATTTTGTCCTTTAGCAAAGGGAAAAGTCAATGAGACTGTTTAAACTTGCTTTAACCTTTATATCTTTGGTTCAGGGTACAGCGTTCCACTGCTCACTTGGTCTGATGATTGAGCAGAAGTGATGATGGTCCTCCTCCGCAGGATTAGCCAGCACTGGGAGCAACTCCTTTCAATCCAACTGTGATTATAGGATTCTTCCGTGATTTACCCAAGGTCCTTCCATGCAGACTTTGTAAGCATTAACCATATTCTTTATTACTTTCATTGGTGGTAGACATGGAATTTTATTTGTTGGATGTTTTATTGGAATTTTTTGTTTGCTTTTATTTGTCCATGGAAGGAGGTCAAAGAAGGAATGAGTCTAATTTTTTTAAAAGACAAGGCTAATGTAATGATAATATGCTCTCTAAACAGGAGAGACAGTCATCAAAGTGTACAACTAAAGTAACCTGAGTCTGTTGGGAGGAACAGGGAGAGAGAGTCAATATCCCCTTCATTAGGGAGGGCCTGTGTTTCCTCCAGCAACCTGGGGTTTTTGGAGGAGGCCTATTTAGACATTAATCCAGTATATCAGGAGGGAGTTTATCAGCCTGGTTAGTGGCCAGACACATTCTGCAAGAGGTCCTTAGATCAGGTCCTGATTTAGGGCCATTCAAGGCTGAACATAGGGTACCTCATGTTTCCTACCAGAAGAGATCTGGTAGATCATACTGAGGCCATGCAGTGTTAGAAAAGAAGATCAGTTCTTTCTTAAATTTTGCAATCCCAAATTGTTTCTAGTGGGTTAAAAGGCATGCCATGGGAAAGTCCTTGGGAACCGAAGAAGCCTAGAGAAGGTCCATTATCAAAAATCGCTCCTGGCTCCTGGGTGGTGTCCCACACAGGATATGTCGGGGGTTCCGGGTGTTCAAGTGACTGGAGGCATCCCTCCAACAAAATCACCATTGATCACCGTCCCTGCTGTAAAGTAAAGGCCCCATAGGAGGGATTGCCTGTGTCCCCTCGCTTCCCCATTGCATTCTAGACTACAAGTGGGTGCCGGTGAATTGACCAAAATACCATGCCCTGCCGTGCTGTGAAGAACCTGCCATTTCTAACCCATGGAAAACACCAGAAAAGTTTTATAAGGGGAAATTACCCAATTTAGTAACTTCATTAACTAATAGGGAACATTGATGAAAAACAGTAAAATAGAAATCCATCATGATCTAAGCAACATTCCAACACGTGTAGTCCTTACAGCCGACTTCCCTAGGAAATGGTCCCCAATGGGATTTTGATTCAATCAGGTACTAGTTTCTGGCCTGAAGCGGCTAGACCCAGAGATGTGAAGGGGATCACATTAGACCAATGAGGAAGAAACCTCACATGGGAGTCTTAAGATTGGCAGGCGTCCTCGTGACTTAGGAGGCTGTCTCAAGCCTAAGGACAGGAATAAAGAAAAACAAACAAAAGGACAGGAATAAGGAGAGGGCCTCAAGTTTCTGGGTCTTACTACCATTCTGGCTGGGGTACTAACTTCTAGCCAAAAGGCAGGCTTTTCCCTCCCCAAAGAGTCCCTCCCCAAAGAGTCCCCAAAGAGTCCCTCCCCAAAGGGCTAGAGGATTGCAGTCTGAGCAATCGACATGAAAGTGTTTGAGTAAGAGCCAGCACACTCCTTGAAAAGCCTCTGAAATGAAAGTAAAGGCAAGAGAAGAGGAATTACTCTACTCTTCAAGTTTGCACCGAGGCTCAGAGTTCCGATGAAAAGACTCGAGCCCCAGGTTGGGCGCCAGAGTGATGAAATTTGGAAGAGGTTTGGGTTCAAGAGCGAATGGCTAAGAATTCTTGACACGTTTTTGGTGTAAGTGATTTTATGAAAGCATGGGGACAGGACCCATGGGCTGGAAGAGCTGCCCCGGGATTGTGAGGAGTGACTGATCACATACTTTTAAGTTTGGGGGGGGGCGGGATAGAGATAAAGTAAGTTCCTAAGGAATTTTGAAGCAAGGCTTTTAGGACCTTGGGGGAGGGGCTAGCTGCTGTTAAGATAAGGTTATTTTTACTCTTTAATAAAACATAAACATGAAGGCATTAAGGCGGTCATGAGTCCCTTGAGGAGGGTCACACTGTGCATGTCTCAGGGATCCATCAGTGGGCTGCAAGCTGTACAGAGATTTAATTTAATTTAAGCTGCATTTCTCTTGCCTTTGTTCTCATTGGCTTCTAAAGGTTATAGTAACTCCCGAGGCCCCCAAATTAGGATAGTGTGTTTTAATTTCAGTAAACTAACAACGACACTAAAAATCCTTGTGATTATTTAAAGCACATAACACCAGCTGCACCTGTGAGAAATTATCTCACAAACATATTTTATCAAGATGGAAAGTGGTTATCAAATGAAGAAATGAATTAGGGTTATTTGTGATATATTATAGAATGGCTGAAAAGAAAGGAAAATTGGCTGAAATAAAAGAAGAGAAAACTGAAACCAAGTATCTTAAATACCATCAAAAGGCAAGCAACAATAACAAAAATGGGAAATCTATGTAGAACACTATTTTTAAAACCAACATTGAAAACTACAACACGAAATGTGCTGGGAGAAATACATTAACATGAACAGCAGAAAATAAAATATATGATAAAATGGTTCTTTGAGTAAAATAGGTTAAATTGATTTTGTTTGCCTCTAGCTAAATTTATGGACTGCAAAGTACCAAAGTTCAGAAATAGGCTTGAACCAAAACCAGTGGAAAGCAGTTTTATTATTGAGGTGTCAGGGTCAGGTTGAAGT